TGAAACCCGGGAAACCCCAAGCATGTGTCCTGACCGGGAATCAAACTGTGACCTCCTGGTTCATAGGTCAATGCTCAACCACTGAGCCACACTGGCTGGATGACCTTGATACTTTTGAAGATTATTGAATAGTTTTGTACAATGATCCTCAATTTGAGTTTGATGTTTTTTCATGATTGGAATGAGGTTATACATTTTGGGCAAGAATAACACAAAAATGGTACCATATTTTTCTCAGGGCATCATATTAAGGGATTCTTGATATTAATATTTTTTATTAGTGATATTTATCTTAATCACTTGGTTAACTTGGTATCTGCAGGGTCTCTATACTTACTATCTTCTCCCTTTCTAGTTAATCAATATTATTGGGAGATAATTTGAAACTATTTGGCATCATTTTAAATATATTTTACAGATTTTTGAGAGTTATTTTCTTAATTGCAGAAGTATTGACACTTGTTTGTCTAAGTCAAGCAACATGACATTGTTTACTCTTTTTTATATATTTTTATTGCTTTCAGAGAGGAGCAGTTGATTGATTTCAGAGAGGAAGGGAGAGAGAGATAGGAACCTCAATGATGAGACAGAATCATTGATTGGCTGCCTGCTGTACACCCCCTCCTGGGAACCTGGAGCATGTGCCCTTGTCTGGAATCGAACCTGAGACCCTTTAGTCCACAGGCTATCCACTGAGCCAAACCAGCTAGGGCAACATTGTTTACTCTTTTAATCCTCACCCAAGGACATGCTTATTGATTTTAGAAAGATGGGGAGGGAGTGAGAGAGAGAAAAACATGAAACATCAATTGGTTGTCCTCTGCATGTGCCCCAACTGGGGATCGAACCCACAACCTAGTTATGTGCCTTCACCAGGGATCAAACCTGCTCCAACCAACTGAGCCACCCTGGCCAGGCCTTTATTTTATTTTTTTACCTACATTTTAATGGGTTTTGTAGGGTAATCTCATTGTTATTTTAATTTGCATTTTTGTAATGACTAATGATGTTGAGCATGCTTTCCGATGTAAATAAGCATGGCATAGCCCAGCAGGTGTTGCTCAGTGGTTGAGTGTTGACCTATACCAGTAAACCAGGAGGTCACGGTTCAATTCTCGGGTCAGGGCACATGCCCAGGTTACAGGCTCCATCCCCAGTGGGGTTTGCAGGAGGCAGCCAATCAGTGATTCTCTCTCACCATTAATGTTTCTCTCTTCCTCTCCTTTCCTCTCTGAAACCAATACAAATATATATTTTTAAAAAATAAGCATGGCATTTAAGCCATCTGTAACAGTTTCTTTTGAAGAGCAGGTTTTACTTTTGATGAGGCCCAGTTTTTTTTTTTCTTTGATGGTTAGTGCTTTTTTTGTGTTCTAAAAACTCTTTGGCACTCATTCATTTTGATCTCTCATTAATTGCATGGTTCTTGAAAAAAAACTAATACTGTGGGGAATGCTTTGTCTGTACAGCCTCTAACTGATAATAGAGTTACGTTTACACACCAAAAATTAGCCATTTCAGAAGGGAAGGGTAAGTCTCACCCACTACAGCTGCTTTTCTTTTTTCCAGATAGCTATGGTATATGTGGGCAATCCCTTGTTTCCAAGACTTCTTTTTAATCACCCACTTTCCTTTTGTATTGGCAAAGGATAAAATAAGAATATATTGTAGGTCCCTTTCTCTGAAATTACAGAACTGTGCTATTACTGGTGCCCCTAGAATTTTAAGAAGGAACTTATAACAAAATCTACTCATTTTCTTTTCTTTCAGTGGTGGGATCAGCAAGCTGATTTTCATACTACTTTCTTGCACCATTTGGCACAATTGGTGCCTGAAATTTATTTTGCTGAAATGGACCCAGACTTGGAAAAGCAGGAGGAGAGTATACAAACGTTAATATTCACTCCACTGGAATGGTATTTATTTGGAGAAGATCCAGATATTTCTTTAGAGAAATTAAAACATAGTGGAGTATTTCAACTCTGTGGGAAGGTTTTCAAAAGTGGAGAAACAACATATTCTTGTAGGTAAGAATTAGAAATTTACAGGATTGGTTGTAATTACAATATTGATATTTTGTAATTCAGGTACACCTACTTCATGATGTACCTTTCTTGGTTTATTACTTGTGTAATCCTACTTAACTAACTTCCGTTTATTATGCACTTATATATCTGTTTTTGCTAGTATACTAGTAGCTTGTTTTTTTGTTTTGTTTTTAAAATTTTTTTAATTTCAGAGAAGAAGGGAGAGGGGGAGAGATAGAAACATCAATGATGAGAGGGAATCATTGATTGGCTGCCCCTTGCACTCCCCCGACTGGGGATCAAGCCCACAACCCGGGCATGTGCCCTTCACAGGAATCGATCCCTGACCTCCTAGTTCAGTGATGGCAAACCTTTTGAGCTTGGCGTGTCAGCATTTTGAGAATCCCTAACTTAACTCTGGTGCCATGTCACATATAGAATTTTTTTGATATTTGCAACTACAGTAAAACAAAGACTTATATTTTTGATATTTATTTTATATATTTAAATGCCATTTAACAAAGAAAAATCAACCAAAAAAATGAGTTCGTGTGTCACCTCTGACACGTGTGTCATAGGTTCGCCATCACTGTCCTAGTTCATATGTTGACACTCAACCACTGAGCCACGTCAGCCAGCAGCTTGTTTTTTTAATATGACATAATTAAGCAGTTTTCTCTTAAGTGTGCATAAGTGATAGATTTTTGCCTCATTATGTAGTCCACGTACTCTTAATTTGAAACTCTTGAGGCCAAGTGCATTTCAGAGTTTTTATACTTCCCTTGCAGAGTCAAGGCAGGATCTTATCATCAAACACAGCATTTTTGTAAGAAATCTGTAAATATTCACAGCAAGTGGTATACATAGAGTCTGTAGTTTCATGTTATTTCAAGTCAGTTTTTGTTACCAAGTGAGATTTGGTGCCAAAGGATTGCAGACCTGTAAGGGCAGAAAGAATTTCACTGGGTAAAGGAGGCCAGTGGTATGGAAACTAGAAACAGATTTAGGCTTTTACCCTTTGTGAGAGCAGTTGCCTTAAACATGGAAAACTTTTTCACTCTCTAATCCTGCCTCAAACTTTCAACTTTTAGATCTTAGCAGCACTTTTAGTTGTTTTTCTTTTTTCTCCTTTAATAGAGGTAGTTTAGGTTGGGTTAGAAGTGGGACTTTTTAGGCTTTATAAATACAGAAATTGTTTTTTGCTTTACTGTAATTCTAGGTTTGACTGGTTTATATTTAGTTAAGAGTTGTTTAGAACTTACTATCTTTTATCCAATTCTTTCATCAGGAAAAAGTCAGCTTATGTGTTTTGTACACTGTTTTGCTGTATAGCCTGATATACTTCATTTATCTTACATAGTTTTAGCTGAAGCCCCAATCAGTTTCAACTAAAGCATAGTAGACATTTGTAGACCCTATTTCTCCAAAAGTGTCATGGAGACATTTAAAGAATATATATGTTTTTATTGATGTTTTAGAGAGAAAAGAAGGGTGAGGGAAACATCAATGAAAGAGAAAAATCGATTGGCTGCCTCCTGCAGGCCCCTGTTGGGGATCTAGCTTGCAACTTGGGCATGTGCCCTAACCAGGATGAACCATACTGGCTAGGGCACATGGAGGCATTTCAAATCGTCACAACTGGGGAAATGGTATTAGTGGGTAGAGACAGGGTTGCTGCTTAAATATCCTGCCATGCACAGGACATCTTTATGTCTGACAACTATCTGGTTCAAAACTTTAGTACTGTTGAGGTTTAGAAATCCTGCTCTAAATAGGTCAGTAGATCAAATACATTTTAGAGAACATTGTTAGGCAATTTTTATTTCCTATTATTCTTTTAAGATTCATTTTTATTTTATTTTTTTTAAATATATTTTATTGATTTTTTACAGAGAGGAAGGGAGAGGGATATAGAGTTAGAAACATCAATGAGAGAAAAACATCTATCAGCTGCCTCCTGCACATCTCCTACTGGGGATGTGCCCACAACCCAGGTACACGCCCGTGACCGGAATCAAACCTGGGACCTTTCAGTCCGCAGGCTGACGCTCTATCCACTGAGCCAAACCGGTTTCGGCTAGATTCATTTTTAAAACTTCCAATTCCATATCTTCAATTCTTCTAAATATTTTAAAAATTAATTTTGTAGCCCTAGCCGGTTTGGCTCAGTGGATAGAGCATCAGTCTGCGGACTGAAGGTCCCAGGTTTAATTCTGGTCAAGGACATGTGCCTGTGTTGAGGGCTCGATCCCCAGTGGGGGACATGCAGGAGGCAGCCAACCAATGATTCCCTTTCATCACTGATGTTTCAATCTATCTCTCCCTCTCTCTTCCTCTCTGAAATCAATAAAAACAAAAATTATTTTTAAAAATTAATTTTGCATTTTGCACCAATTTATAGCAGGTCCTCAACATTTTGTTCAATGTTGTTCATTGTAGTGATAAGATGCCATAGGAACTTAACTCTTGTTTATATCAATTAACCTATTGTAAAAATTATATTTTTGGTGTGTGTGGGTTTTTTTTTAATCCTCACCTGAGGATATGTATTTTAAAATTGATTGAGAGAGAGAGAGAAAGAGAGAGAGACATCGATGTTAGAGAAAAATATCAATTGGTTGCCTCCCATACGTGCTTTGACTAGGGATTGAACCCTCAACCTAGGTATGTGTCCTGACTGGGAAAATCAAACCCCTGCAACCTTTTAGTGTACCAGATGATGTTGCAACCAACTGAACCACTCAGCCAGGGCTGAAATTAGTTTTGTTATATGTTGTTTCACTTAAAGTCAAAGAACCTATAGGTGACCTTAAGTGAGGACTTACTGTATATTGTCCTTAGTGTTTTCCTGAAAATATTAAATACAATAGTACATTTTAAAAGCTGTTGTTAGGGAAGAAATGAAGAGAGATTGAATTTCACTCATTCAATAAATATTAGTTCAATATCTAACATGTAGTAGGCACTGTTTTTAGGTGTTTGGGACATATCAATATCCTCCTATATAATAAAAGCGTAATATGCTAAGTGTCCAGCCTATCGGTCCACCATTCGGTTGACCTCTCAATCAGTCACTGTGACGCTCACTGACCACTGGGGGAAGACTGGTAGGTTAGCTTGCGGCTGGGGTCCATCTGATCTGGTCTGGGTGAGAGGGCTAGACATGCCCTGGAGCTCTCCATTGTCCCTCCCCAGCCGGCGGTCCCTGATCAGCCTGATCGGGACTGGGCGAGACTGCCCCAATGGACCCTGATCGCGGGCCCCAGTCGCTGGCCAGGCCGAGAGACCCCATGTGTGCATGAGTTCATGCACTGGGCCTCTCGTATAAAATAGAATGCTGGCCAAGTAGTTAAGTTGGTTAGAGCATTGTCCTGATAACGAAGGTTGCGGGTTCAGTCCCAAGTCAGGGCATATACAAGAATCAACCAATGCATACAAAAATAAGTGGAACAAATCAATGTTTCTCTCTCTCCCCCTTCCTTTATCTCTAAAATCAATCACTAAATAAAAAATTTAAAAAATAGAAATTCCTGCCCTTATGATGCTTACATTCTAATGGCTTTTGTCTTTATCTAAGCTTTATTTACCATTGAACAATCATTGTTTGTAAAGTGTTTGTAAATGTAATGGGTAAGATGATTGCAAATACTTTTTTAAAAGTTAATTGCCGGGGTTCTTGTCCCAGCATCAAGAAGGGTTCAGGAATCTGGAAAAGGCTATGCATAGATGACATAGAAATCCAGAGACTAATAAAGAGTCCGGAGACGAGATATAATTTTGAAAGACATTGGGGGTCAGAGGACCTTCAGCTAAAGGAACTGAAGACTGCCACCTTGTCTAGGACCCTTGCTTTTATTAACACAATTTGTCCTAAGGCAAGGTGGAGATAATACACTTCAAAGGGTAAGGTTTCAAAGGGTACAGAAGCATTGTCAGGGGAATAGCCTATGGCTTTTCAGGTGTTTGGCCAGTAGGAGGCAATAACATGTAGATTAAGATGCCTTATAACTCTCTGGCAGCCACAATCAGTTTCCTATTCAGGTTTGGGGAAATGCCTTCAGCCATTCCCAACAGGTGACTACATGTGTGACTCAACCCTGTTGAGTCCCCAAGTCTCATCAACCTTTTGATGAAACTCTTGAAATTATGACATGCTGGAATTGGTTTCCGACAGTTAGTCACTTTTTCATAAAACTAATTTTGAAGTGTATCTTAACAGTTTGAAACCATGTGCAAACTCAAAGTAATGAGAATGATTTAAGAAACAAAATGAAATATACAAACTTAAACATTCAACTATGGCTAAGATGAGGCTAAAATTATTTGAAATTTAGTTTTTGAAGCATTTTTGTAATTAGTTTGGATCATATAGGAAACTCATTCACATTACATTATAGTCCGTAAGCATCAGTGGGAGTAATCTAAATTTTGGATTCTGATTTTTAATCTTTTTCAGGGATTGTGCAATTGATCCAACATGTGTGCTCTGTATGGACTGCTTCCAGAACAGTGTTCATAAAAACCATCGTTACAAGGTATGAAAATAGAGCCATAAAGTATCTAGATAAGCAGGAATCTATTGGCCACCTAGTTCATATTCCTGACCAGTACTTGAATTCCTGCTATTACAGTTCTGATGTGTGTAACTTTAGCTCTGATTAAACATATTATATGAGGAAGAGGTAGTCCCATACAATTTTTTATAAGTATGTCACATTTATACAGAAGATTGTGTAAGGTATATGAACAGTTTAAAGGACAACTATAAAGTGAACACTCATGTAACCACTACTAAGGTCAAGAAATAAAACATTGCCTGTTCTCAGAGGCCTCCTCCCATTTGTTCTTCCTGGATCATAATCTTTCTCTCACCCCTCACAATAATTTGTCCTTTATTTCCATTTTAGCTTATCACTCAAATCATATTGAATAGTTTTATCTGGGTTTTTTTAAAAAATATATATATTATTGATTTCAGAGAGGAAGGGAGAGGGAGAGAGATAGAGACATCAGTGATGAGAGAGAATCATTGATTGACTGCCTCCTGCACACCCCCACTGGGGATTGAACCTTGACCAGCATGTGTCCTTGACCAAAATCTAACTCGGGACCCTTTAGTCTCCAGGCTGATGCTCTATCCACTGAGCCAAACCAGTTAGGGCAAGTTTTATTGGTTTTTGAACTTTATATAGGTGGAGTCATACTGTATCTTTTTCCTTTTGAGTGACTTCTTTCATTCAGCATTGTGTGTGTAGCTGTATAATTTGTCCATTGGCCTTATAATGCTCAGTAATGCATTTTGTCTGTATTTATTGTGCTATATATGGATAATGCATATTGCTTCTAATTTGTGGTCATTATGAACAATTCTCCTATGAACATTCTTATTTGTGTGTTTTGGTATATATGTGCAGTAGTTTTTCTGGGCTATTTATCTGGAATAGAATTGCTGAGTTCTAGAGCAGGGGTGGGCAACCTTTTTGTGAGTGCATGCCAAAACCAGCAAAATCTCTGACTCAAAATTCTTCTGTGTGCCAACCCTAATTTTTTGAGAACATGTTACACCTACTTGATATCTCTTAGGGTGTACATATGTGAAGAACATTGAAGAAATAATAAAATTCATTCAAGCGACAAAAACACAGTATATATG